TGGCAGAGGCAGAAGGGGATTTCTTTGCTTGGGTCGGTGAATGTAGTGGACTTTTCTAAGGGGTCATCTGAGTTCAAACCTAGAGCCTAATGGTGCCAGCTGTTGTGAACATGGAGGGGAGGAGGAAACTCCAACCGAGAGGCTACTAGATCCCAACAGGAACCCCAAACCATAATTTCAGGTGTAACAAGTAGGGTCCTGTGCATTGAAGACTTGGGAGATAGGGCACTCAGAGGGGACAAGGGTCCTACCTGTGAGCAGAGTGACCAGCAGAAGGAGTTTCATCCTGAGTGAGGGGAGGACTCAGTGATTCCTCTTTACAGTCCTGTAGCTGTGCTCTGACAGTGTCCAGTCAGCACACAGGGCCTGTGACTACTGTGTGTGTAGCACAGAAGTAGAATACGTGCACCCTCACACACAGTCCCGACCTGCAGAGCCACTGTAGATGGTGACAGAGCCTGAATCAGTGCTGTCAGAGAGGCACAGAGAAAGGGCTAGCTCAACACCCCAACCAGCTCAAGTGTAGTGACTGGCAAAGGGCCAAGTTCCTCCCCCGTGGGCATTTTGAGGTCATAGAAGATACAGACATTGCTCCTGGAATTGGGTCTGAGGGATGTTCATAGTGAAATGTGGTTCCAAGAATGAGTTGCTGGACCCTACAATCCTCCCTATTAACTGCATAAACTAAGTGCAAAGTATGTCCCAAGTATTTACACAGGCTTTGAGGTAGATCTAGTTACAAATTTAATCTTTAAGTAATTAACTAATTAATTAATGTGTGTGTTGGTGTGTGGGTGAACTGGGAGGGTTAGAGAGAGTTAGAGTGACAGATGAACAGGAAGAAAGAGAGAGAGAGAGAGAGAGAGAGCCCTTGTGATCACATGTGGAGGGCAGAGGACAACTCTGTGGAGTCAGGTCTCTCCTACCTTTAAGGAATCAAACTCAAGTCTACAGGCTTGCATCATATGCTGCATCTTACTAGCCTTCAAACTCCATTTAAGAAATAGGAATGTAGCAGATGGTAGTGGTGATGCAGACCGTTAATGTCAGTACTCAAAAGCAGAGGCAGGCAAATACATGAGTTTGAAGCCAGCTGGTCTACAAAGTGAGTTCCAGGACACCCAGAGATACACTAAAAAACCCTATCTCAAAAAACTAGGGAAGTTGCCAGGAATCCCCAAGGATGACCCCAGCTTAGACTACTAGAAACAATGGAGAGGGTGCCTGAACTTAACTGGCTTGACCCAGTGATCAGTTCGGTGAATACTGTGACTGTCATCACAGAACTTTTCTCCAATGACTGATGGAGGCAGATGCAGAGATCCACAGCCAAACACCAGGCAGAGCTGCAGGAGTCCAGTAGGAGAGAGAGAAGAGGGATTCTATGAGCAAGGGCATCAGGATCATGACGCAGATCATGCAGAGATGACCAAACCAAAGTAGTGGGAACTCATGAAAGTTGGATCAAAGGCTGTGGAGCCTGCATGGGACTGGACTGTCTTCTGCATGGCAAGACAATTGTGTAGCTTGATGTGCTTGGGGGGCCCCCTGGTGGTAGAATCAGAATCCATCCCTGGTGCTTGAACAGACTTTTTGGAGTCCACTACCCTTGATGGGAACCCAGTGCAGCCTTGAGGCAGGGGAAGGGTTTGGACTTGCCTCTACTGGATGTGCCTCCCTATGAGAGGCCTTGCCTTCTTGTGCTGGGTGGGTTTGGGGGAAGGCTGGGAGGAGTGGTGGAGGGAAGAGGGAGATCTTTGGTGTGTAAAATGAATGAAAAATTTTATTAATTAAAAAAAAAGAAACCAGAAACCAACATCTAAAAAATGATAAAGAAAGAAAGAAAGTAAATGCCCAACAGATGTGCCCACAGGCCAATATGATGCAGTCAATCCTTCCGCTGAGGCTCTCCCTACCCAGTGTGTGAAGCTGACAATCAACCATTGCAGGGATGGCTGGAGAGATGGCTCAGCACTTAAGAAAAGTTTCTGCTCTTCCTGAGGAATGGGTTCAATTCTCAGCAACCACATGGTGGCTGGCGAACAGTGTCTGCTGGCCCAATGCTCTCTCGCTTCTGTGAATGGCCATCTGTCATGTACCCTCTAACTTAGCACCCAGCACCTCCTTTTCCCCACTTCTGAACTCTTACCTGGATAACAACCAGTAGGTGATGAGTTGAGTTGCTTGTCTCCACGCTCAAGATCTCTGATCCTTCCAGCAGGACTCTGGATGGTCACTACCAGCTATGCAGGTCCCTGGGCCTGCCCTGGTGGCTCTAGCTGCACCTGTTGCTCATCAGAACTGACCTTGCCAGGGGTGAGGCCTGACATTTGGGCGGGAGTGGAAATGAGGTTGGGGGTGGGAAGGCAGAGGACTGGGCAGCTGTTCACTAAAGGAAAAGAGAGACCAAGAACCACACAGACTTTAACCAACGAGAAATCTTTTTCTTAAATCTGGTTGACCAGGAAACCAGAGATTAACCTCTCTTTACCTACAGGGTCCCGTGATAGGGAAAGTACGAGAATACGATGTGTTGTGTTTTGTTTGTTCAAAAAGTTATTCTGCTGTGTACTTTAGAGGGACAACGATCCAGTGACGTGTGCTTGGCACAGTGAAGACTGGAAAGTCACCAGAATGTAATCCTGCCTTCAGGACATTTATAGTCAGTCCAGGTTGGTTTCCTTTATCCAACTTCCTGTGGTGAGCGCACAGCAGAAGCGCTTTGAACCCAGTATTTTTGGGGAAAAGATGTTCCTTTAGTGCCCACATGACACCTCTTCTCTCTTCCCTCCCCACCCCACCCCTCTCTTCCTGTTCTTTTCCCCACCTCAACTGTCCCAACCCTTCTCTCTCTGTTCCCTTCTCTTCCACCTCCTCTCCTCCTCCTGCTCCTCCTTTTTTTTTTTTTTCATTTTTCCAGAGAGAATTTCTTGGTGGAATAGCCCTGGTTGTCTCGGCCCTCGAGTTTTAAACCTGGTTGGCCTTGAACTCAAGAGATCTGCCTGACTCTGCTTCTGCTTCTGTCTCTTCCTCTCCACCACAGAGTGCTCAGATAAAAGGCATGGCCAGGCTCATCACCCACTCTTCAAGACACTCCCCTAATGACAATGTCTTTTCCATTAACCTTCAGCTTCCAGGGCTAGATGGAACGATGTTCTCTGAGGATCTGGAAATGTTTGGTGGACAGAGAATACAACCTCCAAAGCCGAGTTCTTTCTATAGGTGCTTTATAGAGGGCACAGTGTGTAGTGAACAGAACTAGACAGGCAGGGAAGGTGTACCAGTCACTGAGGTGACAAGTCGAACAGTAAATGCTTTTGTAACGCTTGGTGAATGGCGTGTTGTAGAAGCAGATGGCAGCCTGGTGGTCACAGTTGGAGATGAAGTCCTCACAGGCCTTGTTTTGTGTGAAGAGAAACAAGAAAGGAAGTTGCGTGTGGCTCATGATTATGATCCCTACGATTTGTAACCAAAAGGGAGTGGCGGCCCTGCCATTTGTACAGACTCAGGGCTGAGAGTCAAAGACACAAAAGTGTATTGGGTGTCCAAACACATTTATAATAAAAAAAAAATCATTTGTTGTGTGGCTGGGGAGATGGCACAGTGTGGGGGGCCGTCTCATCCCGACTTTTCCCCAGGGTACTCTTGAGCAGGAGCAGCAGGAAATATTAGATAGAAATATAGCTAGAGACAGACAGACAGAAAACACAGGATGGCCTAGGGAGGACCTAGATCCTCATCCATCAGGCCTTGATTGTCTCTGCCAAAGGGCTTATAAAGCAATGCCAAGTTGTGGAGCAAAAGACCTCCCCCAGCACAGCCAAGTGCAGACCATCACAGACACCTGGAGACCGTGCACGTGGTCAATCCATCCCCTAATGCAGCCCCGCTGTGTAAAGAAAGATCAGATCTAACTGGGAAACTTTTGGGGGCTCTCACAGCACAGTTGCTAAAGTGGTTGCCAAAAGCTCATGCAGGCCTGACCTAGGATGCCCAGAGCCCTTGTAAAAGGCAAGATGTGCTTGGGGCATCTTGGGAAGTAGGGAGCATGAATCCCCAAAACTTGTTGATCAGTCAGGCTAGCTAAAGGTGAATGTCATGTTTAGCGAGAGACCCAGGCTCTGAAGACGGTGGACAGTGACTGAAGAAGACAAACTTATTCCTACACATAAAAATAAATAAACACAGATATTTAATCCTAAAACCTAGAAAACTACAAATATCAACTACCACTTCTAAACTTATATGATTTCAGACAATCCTCCTGCCTCCACCTTCCAAGTGCAGGGTTTCAGGTGTACACCACCATACTTAATTCATGTGTTCTGGAGGTGGAACCCAGGGCTCTGTGCATGCTAGGCAAGCACTCTAGCAACTGAGCTAGCTATATTCCCAGCCCTCTGAATCCTCACCTGTAAAATGGGAATGATAAATCTTGCCCTGCACAGGTGTTTACTCCAGTATCTGACTTATACAATGATTCAGCTCTCCATTGTCTAGTCAGTATGGAATCAGTATAACACAGCAGCTAACAGGAGAGGCTTTGGACAGGCAAGATGGCTCAGGGAATAAAGGCCCTTGCTGCCAAGTCTGAACCCAAGTTCTATCCCCAGGACTCACATGGTTGAAGGAGAGAACCGACTTCTGCAAGTTGTCCTCAGACCTGCACACCTGTGTTGTAGCAGAGGCAAACTTTCCCCAGAAATACATAAAATCTTGAAATGTTTTTAAACAGAGGCATTGGAATGATGTAGATCTGTGTTCCAGATCCAAATGTCATCACTTCTAAGCTGGGTGACCTTGGGCAAGTGGCCCAGATTTCTCATCTGCCTCATCGGTGACCTCATCTATATTTTAGTATCTACCTGATAAGGCTGTTGTGAGGTCAAATGAGATCAAGGAAATGACCAGTAAATGGTGCCTGTCCTTGTTACTTCCTTGTCCCTTCCAAACCTGCCCAGGACCAAGCAGAGTCCAGATGTCCTGGAGTGTAAACCTACCACTGCAGGTGATCTCATTCCCAGAACACAAGTCCAAGTATAAGCTGGTGTAGGGATTCCTTATGAAGAATTTGCAGTTTTCTAGCTTCTTGATCTGAGCATAACAGTGGTCATGAGTCTGGCAGCACCTGGAGAGAGGAAGGAAGAGCTGAGGGAGGAGTGTGGACCCACAGGAGATCAGTTCTCACCAGCAGTCTTCCTCAAACATGTGAGGATAACTTAAAACACTATGTTCCAGAAGATATTGTCCTGAGACTTCAGAATCTGTGATTTCTATTAAACATATATTTATGGAAAGCAACTTCTGTGGGTTGTGGTGATGTCCACCATTAATCTCAGTACTTGGGAGGCAGATGCAGATGGATCTCTCAGTTTGAAGTCAGCATGGTCTCCTGAAATAGTTCCAGGAAACCTAGGGCTACATAGAAAATCCTTGTCTGGAAACAAATAAACAAAAAATAAGCAGGGAACCAGAGGTTAACCTGACTTGGCCAATGGGGTCAGGTGATATTGAAAGGTAGAGGAAACAAAGTGTTCTTTTTTTGTTTGATCAAAAATTTAGTCTGCTGTGTTCTTTACTGGGACAATTATCCTGTGGTGTGTGTTTAGGCACAGTGAAGACTAAAAGTCCACCAGGATGTAATCCTGTCTTCGGGTCATTTATAATCAGTCCAGTGTGGTTTCCGTATCCCCATTTCTAGAATTACTGCCCAGCAGAAGCACTTTTAATCCAGTATTTTTAGTGCCAAGATGTTTCTTAGTGCCCACGTGAAACTGTATCTTTCTCTCTTCTCTCCCCTCCTACCTCTCTGTCTTTTCTTTCCTTCCCATTCCTCCCTCTTCCCTGTCACTCTCCCTGCCTCATCTCTCCCCCCTCCTTCCTTTTCTGTCCCCTGGAGTTGATTATTTTACTCTTTTAGTCTTTTGGCTCTTTTGGGAACCCAACCCCTAGCTCCCCAATAAACACAGGGAGGTTTATTCTTTACTATGAATGCCCGACCTTAGCTTGGCTTATTTATACCCAGCTTTTCTTGGCTAACATTAACCTCTCAGTCTTTTGCCTCTGAGCTTTTATCTTTCTCTATTTCTGTACACCTTTCTTTATTTCTTATTCCATGGCTTGCTGTGTACCTGGGTGACTGGCCCTTTTCATGTCCTCTCCTCCTTTTCTTGTTCCTATTTCATCTCTGGAGATATGTGATCCTATTTATTATCTGTGCCTGCCAGCCCCACCTATCTTTTCCCCTGACTCACTATTGGCCATTCAGCACTTTATTAGACCAATCAGGTGTTTTAGACAGTTAAAGTAACACAACTTGATAGAGTTAAACAAATGCAACACAAAAGAGTGCAATAAATTTTTACATCATTTAAACAAATGTTCCACAGCATAATCCAATGTAACATGTCTCAAGACAATATTCCACAGCAGTCCCCCCACACACTGCTGTGTATCTCAGACTGGCTTCTTTCTTCTTCTTCTTCTTCTTCTTCTTCTTCTTCTTCTTCTTCTTCTTCTTCTTCTTCTTCTCCTCCTCCTCCTCCTCCTCCTCCTCCTCCTCCTCCTTCTTCTTCATTTTGTTTTCAAGACAGGGTTCCTTTGTGTAATAGGAACTTGTAATAGGACGGTCCAGGAACTTGCTTTTTAGACCAGGTTTGCCTTGACCTCAAGAGATCTACCTTCCTCTGTTTCTGCCTCTGCCTTGCATCCCAAGAATGCTGGGAAGAAAGGCATGGCTGGTCTCATAAATGACACTTCAAGGTGCTTGCTTCCTGGAAGCATATTTCCCATTATACTTCAGTTTCCAGGGATCAATGGAATGATATTCTCTCAGAATCTAGTTATGTTTGTTAGACAGTGATTACAATCACCAATGCATAGCTCTTTCAATATGTGCTTTATTAGAGGGCACAGTGTGTAGTGAAGACAACCAGGCAGGCAGGGATGGTGTACCAGTCACTGAGGTGACAAGTCTAACAGTGAATGTCTTTGATCTGCTTGGAGAAGCAGAGAGCAGCCTGGCGGTCACAGTTGCAGGTAAAGGCCTGACAGGGGTTGTTTTTATCTGGAGAGAAACAAGAAAGGAAATTGAGTGGAGTCCATGACCCTGCTCCCAACAATTTGTAACCAAAAGACAGGGTGCACCTCCCATTGATGAAGACTTGGGGTTTAAGAGACAAAAAACTAATGAATAAAAATTATTAATAAAAAAATAGACAGAGCACACAAAAGTCCATTGGTTGTCCAAATTGCTGGAACACACAATAAGAACATTAGTTGTTGTGGCTGGGGAGACGGCACAGTTGGGTAAAGCGGTTTGACATACATGCATGAGGGCCTGACCTAGGATGCCCAGAGACCATGGAAAAAGCAAGGTGTGCTTGGGGCCTCTGTAAGTCTATTGGGGATGTGGGGAGAACAGATCCCCAAAACTTGTTGGTCAGTCAGGCTAGCTAAAGGTGAGTGTCATGTTTAGTGAGAGAGAGACCAAGTCTCTAAAGACATGGTGGAGTGTGACTGAAGAAGACACGGGATGCCAACTCATTCCTATACATAAAAATAAATAAACACATGTATTTAATCCCTAAAACCTGGAAAACTACAAGTATCATCTAACACTTCAAAATTATATGATTTAGGACAATCCTCCTGCCTCCACCTCTCAAACGCTGGGATTACAGGTGTGCACTAGCACACTCAATTTCTGGGTTCTGGAGGTGAATACCCAGGGCTCTGTGCATGCTAGACAAGCACTCTGGCACCTGGGGCTATATTCTCAGCCTTCTCATCCTCACCTGTAAAATGGGAATGATAAATCTTGCCCTTAATAGGTGTTCAGGCCAGTATTTGGCTTATATCCAATGATTCAGCTATCCCTTGTTTAGTCAATGTGGAATCAGTATAACACAGGAGCTAATAGAAGAGGCTTTGGGCAGGGAAGATGGCTCAGGGAATAAAGGCACTTGCTGCCCAGTCTGAACCCGAGTTCCATCCCCAGGACTCACATGGTTGAGGGTGAGTACAGATTCCTTCAGAGATCCACAGATGTGTAGTTGCACAGGCATGCCTCACCCACAAATATATAAAAATCTTTAAAGGTTTTTTAAAAGGGCATTTGAATGATGTAGATGATTGATCCAGAATCAAATGCCATCCAATTCTAAGCTGTTGACCTTGCGCATCTGGCCCCGGCTTCCTCTTCTTCCCCATCAGGGACCTCTTGTTATGTGTTATTCTGAATGTGTTCTGACAAATAAAGCTTCCTTTGAGTCAGAAGGTGGAGCTAGCCACTACTGACCACAGATTTTGGAGGACTGTAGACAGAGAGGAGTCAGGAAGTGGTAAGGTGGGGCAGAGAGAGGACTTCAGCCCTTTGAAATGAAGGAATGGGGGAGGAAGGAAGTAAAAGGCGGCTGCTCCCTGTTCTCTCATCTTTCAGGTTCTTGCCCCAATATTTGACTCCCAGTTTTTAATTGATAAGATTAATTGAATTAACACATCATCTGGTGTTCAAATTTCGGGGCACAAATTCAGGAAACAGCCCGATTGCCCATGGATTTGCAGCCACAGGCATCCGCCAGAGCTGTGCATGGGAGTTGCACCCACTGGAATTGCCATGTGGCTGGTTGGCTTTTCCATTTGTTCCCCAAGCCCTCTGAGTGGGTGTTGGGTTTTTCCAGTTACACCCTATCTACAGCAATCTCCACAAGCCCCTAACTCGACAGGGGCTTGGGTTCCAAAAGCCGCTGGAGTTCATCCCACACCACTGGCCAGCTCTGTCTTCAGGCAGCTCTGTGTTTTTCACTTCCTGCCAACCACACATGCTGCTTTTGTACGTTCCCTTGTATCTGCCTTTCAGACTGCTGGCTCTTTGGCTACTTTTTCCTGTGGGTTGTGGACTTCCCCTGGACCCTGTCCTCAGGCTCCTGACATCTGACCGGGGCAGCTGTTCTCAGCCAGCTGTGCACCACCTGTGTTCTCTATCCAGATGTGCTGCACAGCAACCTTAGCCTCACACTTCAGTGTCATCATCAGCAGATTTGGTGAGACAGCTGGGACCTTCTAAAAGGGGGAATTAGTTAAAGAAAGAGAGAGAGAGTTTTTTCCCATGTTAAAAAATAGGAAACATTGCCGGGCGGTGGTGGCGCACGCCTTTAATCCCAGCACTGGGGAGGCAGAGCCAGGCAGATCTCTGTGAGTTCGAGGCCAGCCTGGGCTACAGAGTGAGTTCCAGGAAAAGGCGCAAAGCTACACAGAGAAACCCAGTCTCAAAAAAAAAAAAAGGAAAAACTATTATGATGGAAGGAGTTAGGTCTCTGTATGATTCCACAATGGATGGTTTAAAAATGGAACAATTACATGAGGGGATAATTAACTTAGCTGTGATTTACGTAATGTTAATTATAAGCATTATCAGCTTGGTAATTCTTGTTTTATCCCTAAAAAAGTTAGTTGATATCAATGCCAGATATCAGAAATTGACTGATAATATGCCAGCCTTAAAAATACGTACTAAAGAAAAAATGCAATTTTGAATGATAAGTTAGAAGCCTTAGAAATACTCATTAAAACAGATCATAGAGATATTCAAAGACAGAGGAATTTAAAGGAGATCCAACCTTAACATTACATTATGAAATTAGAAAGGAACAGCCTAAAGTTCAAAAAATCAACCTTAATTTATCCAGTCACCAAACAGGAACAACTATCAAATGACAGGAATCCTCAAGGCTATGTAAGACCTGACTGGATTCCTGTGGAAATGCTTGATTTGAGGAGATTTAAAGAAGTGATAGTTTCATATGGTATGCATTCTCCTTTTGTGAGGCAGAAGTAAAATTCATGGTCAACTAGGAACAGAATTAACCCTCAAGACTGGAAAGACTTGGTTCTAACAGTATTGGAACCTGGTCCTCAATTACAGTGAAGGACCTTGATGAAAGATGAGGCTGAGGCCATTGAACAACCAAGTAGGGATAGAGGTATAGAAATTTTCTAAGACTAGCTGGTTGGAGAGGGCGATTATGCTGATGTACAAAGACAGTCTATATATGATGACCATATCTTGGCTCTATGCCATGAAGCAGCTTTGAATGCTTGGGACAGAGATGAAGAAGTTGGAAAGAA